TGGCACAAACAAGGCACCTGATCTGGGAAGGGGCATCCCAACAAGCCACGGTTGTAAAACATTATTTATCCAACATACTTATTTGTCTTATATTATTATTTTCATATCTCTGCGATTATACTTATAAAAGCCATGTTTTTGTGCCCTCTCCTGACTGATGATTGACCAGAGGGCGCCTCCTCTGCAGCTGACACAGCGTACAAAGGGGCCTCCTCCTCCGATGTCTCGCAGGTTTCTTGGTCCCCACAGTCACTCTCCTTCCTCCCTTAAAGCACAAATCCAAGGGTGTCAGTCCCCAGCTTTAAATCCTTCATTAGGCCCGCCTAGCCTTCAGGGTAACGTTCAGACCTGGGATGACCCCTCTGCAGTCACCTACTCCCGGCCACTCTCTCTTGCACCATCATTGACTGTGCTCTGTCTCCTCAGGACTGCGTGTGCTTTCCTGTGACTCTGTCCTTGGTACCGAGGAGCCCTGCCCGTAGTGCCAACCTCTGCCCGCTTCCAGCATGGCTTACTTCCTGCAACAGTGCGAAAAGCATTGCTTTTGTGATCAAGTGACTGTAAACAGAACTAGCTCAAGTGTCACCTTTTCCTGGTCCACCATTCCCTACCCGACCTCCCCAAATCAGCCTGCTTTTGAGGCTTCTGTGTTTGCCCACAGAATTCCACACTTCCCTCTGTCACGCTGGATTGTATGTATCTCTTTACCCATCTCCATCCTGGGCTACACCGACCACCTGGAAAGCATTCTCCCCTGCACCTCCATATGTTTCCCCCCTTTTTATGAAAGTGTTCAAACATTCAGCAAAGTAACAAAAATGATACAGTTATTATACTTAATACAGCATACTTATTCAGATTTAACAGTAGTTTTGTCAGATTTGCTCCAAGTATGGGTTTTTTGGTGAGATAGTTAAAGTAAATATACTATGATCTTAAATATTTCTGTATGTATCTTTAAAAAATATATACCCCTACTTAAAGACAATACTGTTATCCCATGCAATAAAATTATTAATACTTTTTTTAATGATTAATATTCTGTATCACCTAATAACTTACATGACTTTCTATTTCCCCAAGTGCCTAGTGCAGTTTCTGCCAAGTTGCAATAAATGTTAGAATGAATTTTTCTGTGATAACAAATGGGATAGCAATAGGATTTTTATGTACTCAAAATGGAGTTTTAGAATTTTAAATTATTTTTCAATTATAATGTGCTTTAATTGCAGATGGAGATACGAAAAGGAGAGCAAAGAAAGCTAAGAAAAAGGAAAAGAAGAAGAAACACAGATCGTCAGTCTTTTCTTTATTTTATGAAAAAGTTAAAATGTGTATAAAATTACATTAAATAGTATAATCCCCCATGTACCCACCACTCACTTTGAATAATTACCAACTCATGGGTAGTGCCCTCCCCCCCAGTTATTTTGAAACCAATTCCAGATAACATTCCATCCATAAGCAGTTTAGCACTTTTCTCTGACAGGTATTGTTTAAAATACAAACCAAAAAATAGGACCAGGGATATAGCTCAGCGGCACAGCACCTGCCTGGCAAGCATGAGGTCATGAGTTCAATTCCCGGAACCAAAAGAAAAAAAGAAACCATTATGGTACTATAATGCCTAAAATACTTAACAATAATTACTCAATTCTCAGTGGCTTTTCTGCAGCTTATTCAAATCAGGATCCATTTCATGTCCCTAAATTGCAATGATTATATTTGTAAAGTGTCCTTTAGCATGTTCTGCTCTCTACATTTCCTATAGAATGATAGGTCCAAAGGCTTGATGATCTAGATTTGAGTTCTGGGCAGGAATACACATAGGTGGTACTGTATTCTTCCGTCAGAAGACAAATAATGTCTAGGTGTCTCATTGATGTATTATTTCATGAGGGATTGCAATATGGTGATAGTCTATCTCTAGCTTGCCTTCTTCATTAATTAGGTAGAACAACTCTAAAAGAGAAACTCATCAACAAATTAAATATACTGAAGTACAGTTTGTATAGGAAGGGAAAGAAGGTTACGGGTATAGTTCAGTGGTAGTGTTTACCTAGTATGCATGAGACCCTGGGTTTGACCCTCAGCGCTACCAAAAAAATTAAATAATAATAATAATAATAAAATTAAATATAAAATTCTATAAAAGGGAAGAACAAGAAATGAGTATTGCTTAATTTTTCAGTTTTATGAGTTTGCAAAATAATGAATTGTATTCTTTTAGTATTATCCTGAGGATTTAAACCTATTTAATATATTTTATTCCCTTACACTCAAAATTATTAATGCACAAGTTGGTAAGAGCTGTTTTATAAGCCTTTTTTTTTTGTTTGTTTTTGTTGGTTTTTTTTTGGTTTTTCTCCGGTACCAGGAACCGAACTCACGACCTTGCACTTGCCAGGCAGGCGCTTTGCCGCTGAGCTAAATCCCCAGCCCCAAGCCTTTTTATTTCTGTTGTCATTCTATACCATAAGAACTGTATTTCATTGTTCTTTTAGTGATTTTTTTTTAATTGTGAAGCATGATTTTATTAAGTGTTAGTTTTTTTAGTTAAAGTTCTTCTCTAGCAAGTTTGAATAAGGTGGGAATTCAGGTCATTTTCATTGCCTTAAAAAATTAAGATACTCTTTAACATGGGGATATTAAGTGAATTTGTATCAATTTATAATCCCTACAGGAAGAAATATAAGAAAAAGAAGTCTAAGAAGAGCAGAAAAGAGTCCAGTGATTCAAGTTCTAAAGATTCCCAAGAAGAATTTCTAGAGAATCTCTGGAAGGATAGATCAAGTAAGTTCTTCTGATAACCTTTAACTCAAAACAGATAAAACTTTAAAGTAACTGAATGGTCAAGTGTGAATGTGTTTCTGAACTTCTTCCATGCAGAGGCTGAAGAACCCTCAGATTTAATTGGCCCAGAAGCTCCAAAAACACTTGCCTCTCAAGATGATAAACCTTTAAAGTAAGTAGCACTATATTTATAATATCTAAAGTACCTTCCAAAACTATAGCCCTAACTTGCCTTTCCAAGCTTATCTCCCTATACTTCCTTAGCTGTACCCTAGCTTCCATGTGAGCTGGAATACTAAAAGTGCTTGCTATCCATGTTCCATTTTTCCTCCTTGTTAAGCGTGTTTCTTACCCTACATGCCTTCACTTCTTTTCCCTGCCTTGTATTCTTCCCTACCCTCAGTTTTCTCCCTGTTAAAATCCTTCAGTAGCCTTCAAAGCCCTTTGCAAAAGCAGAGAGATAACTGATTCTCAGTATTACCCCTCCATGAGTAATTGTGATTTCTACCCTTCTTCAATCCTCAAGCACTGTATGTTGACCCTCTGTAGCATATTATATGTTTTAGCTTGTATTGCAGTTATATCTTATTACTAATAAAAACTCCACAAGAACAGAAATTGTTTTTATATTACAAACTCTGAGTTGAATAGGTATGCAAGAAACATTCATCGAGTTGAATTAAGGGATAATAGCTTTTAAAGTCCCTTTGAAACAAAGGTAATAGATAATTGTTACTGTATAGCATTATTATTGGTCATAAGTAAAAGATATGTCAATTTGAGATACATTATTTCTTTACTTTAGGGCTTTTTTTTAAGAGAAAAGGAGAAAGGGAAGGAACTAGAGCAGAAGCAATAATGGCAATACCTATTGGGATATATTAACCATCTGTTATAAGCTGTACATTTACATATACTAACGTCAGTTCTTCCAAATTATTTTTGTATTTCTGGGTTAGTAATGTAAGTCATAGTGCAGTGTTTGCTAATTAAAGTGATTCACATTGGACTTCCTACAGTAGAACACTACTGCTTAGCACTGGTATTCCCATTGTTACCAGAAAGAAAATGTTTTGTGCACTTTTTAGATGATGAGCTTTCTGTATTGTGTTGATTTAATGGACCTTTTCTGAATTCTGAATTATTTTGCAGCTATGGCCATGCTCTGTTACCTGGTGAGGGTGCAGCTATGGCTGAATATGTAAAAGCTGGAAAACGTATTCCACGAAGAGGTGAAATTGGGTTGACAAGTGAGGAAATTGCATCATTTGAGTGTTCAGGTTACGTAATGAGTGGTAGCAGGTATGTTCTTGGTATTGGGCTCAGTTTCTATGATCAGATCTTTTCCTTACTATCAGAATTATATTTTGGTGATTGATTTTCATTAAGTCACTATCCATAATGGAAAGTAGAGTATGAATACTGATTTGATATTGTCTTTTGATATGAACAATGTGGTTAAAATCCCAAGCATATATGAAATTTAGCTTCAAAGTTAGTTATATCCTCAACCTCAAGGAATCAGTATTTCTTTGTACTTTGCTATAGGGAAAACTATAAACATTATTGAAAGACATTAAAGACCTAAATAGGGAGAGAGATAACATGTTCATGGGAAGAAGGCAATACTGTAAAGTTGTCCGTTCTTTTCAGATTGATCTTTCGACTCAATAAAATTCCAATCAACGGTTTTTCATAAAATTTAATAAGCTGATTCTAAAGTATATTTGCTACACTGAAAGGCCAAGAATAGTCAGGGTTGGTTGGTTGGTTTATTCGTTTGTTTATTTATTTATTTGTTTGCAGTAATGGGGATTGAACTCAAGGTCTTTGCACTGAGCTAAGTCCCCAAGTCTTTTTTTTTTTATTTTGAGACAGGGTCTTACTAAGTTGCCCAGGCTAGGCTCAAACTGGTCCTCCAACCCACTCTCCTGGACTGCTGGGATTACAGGTGTCACCCAAGTGTCGCTCAGCTTAGCCAGGTCATTTCTGAAGAAGAGTAAGGAAGGTGAGATTTTCCTTACTACAGATGAGAACTTACAAAGCTTACAGCACTTCAGAAAGCATAGAGAAACAACGACCTTATTCAGTGAAGTAAAATACTTCCTGTGTACTTTCCTAGTTCATATTTTGGCACAGATATTTTATCCACTGAAAGACAGTCATCTGTTTATCTTAATCCATGAAGAATGTGTCATTTTGGTTATTAAAGCATTGGGGATATAGTTGAGTTTGAGGCCAAGGACAGCTATAGCATTATGAAACTTCAGTTGTGTGAAAGAGATGGGATGTTAGAACAGTGGAGAAAGAGGGAACTATTGAGTAAGGGGGGAAATGGTTATCCATGTAGAAAAAGATGAAAGTAGGACCCAAACTCACCATATACAAAAGGCTGTGCAGTTAAATTAAGAGTTATAAGAGCAGATATATTTTGGACCTTAGGATAAAGTGTTTTCTAAAAAAAAAAAAAAATGCCCTAACCATAAAATAAAGTATTGCCAGGCATCATGGCACACGCCTGTAATCCTAGCACTCAGGAGGCTGAGGCAGGAGAGTTGCTGTGAGTTCAAGGCCAGCCTGGACTACATAGTGAATTCAAGGCCATCCTGAATTACATAGTGAGACCCTATCTCTAAAATAATAATAATAATAATAATAGTAATAAATAAAGTAGTTATTAAATTAAGTAGTTATAAATTAAGAAGTTTGCCTAGGCTAAAAATAAGAACTCATGTTTATCAAAAGACACATTAACAACAACAACAAAAAAAAGACAGGTTCCATGGCAGGATAAGATCTTGAAATACACACAACTAATAAAGAGTTAGTACTGAGAATATTTAAAGTATACCTATAAGTGACCCAAAAGAAAAATGGGGAAATGACCAAACAGGTATTTTTCAGAAGAAAAAATACATATGTCCTATACATACATAAAAAGATATTATTATTAGGAATAGAAATCAAGAACTTAATGAGATACCACTTTACACCCATTTGATAGGAAAAATGTTCAAAGTTCTAACAGTGCCAAGCATTTGAAAGGATGTAGATATACATATAGGATCTCTTAAATATTGCTAGTGATGGTATACATTGGTACACTTTGGGGAATAATAATTTAGCAACTCCACACCAGACTACCCAAGAGAAAAAACTTTCACATATGCTAGGAAACACGTGTATGGAAGTTCATTATAGCATCCTTCATGTAGCACTTTCTCCCAAGTACTAACTAGGCCAACCCTAATTAGCCTCTGAGATCAGGCGGGACTGGACATAGGGTTGTAGGGCTATAGATTCATGTGGCACTTTTTGTGCTAGGTAAACTGTTCAAAATACTCCCTTCCCCTGAGCAACCTAAATATATTGTCATTTTAGCCAGGTGTGGTAGCACACGCCTGTCATACCAGCACTTGGGAGGCTGAAGCTGAGGCAGGAGGATCACTGTGAGTTCGAAGCCAGCCTCGATCGGCTACATAGCAAGACTTTGTCTTAAAAAAAAAAAACATAGATAGATAGATAGATGGATAGATAGATACTCATTTCTTCATCTCTCCCATCTTGCCACTTCCCTGCCATCACACTAATTTAAATTGATTCTCTCCTTTTCTCCTTACCCAGATTGTTCTGTTTTTCAAGAAATAGCTCAAGCTTCTTGAATTGATTCTGTACGACTGGGTACATATATACAAGGAAGACAGGTTTTCCCTCTAAATAAAGAGACTTTTTGAACATGATGTCATAGTTTCCCTCTGCCTCTACTCTTAAGCGTTAGTAATTTGACCCTTGTAAGAAATCTCCCCTTTCTTTTCTTTGAGCCCCTACTGGATTCTAAAGAAATTAAACCTACCCCCAGACCCCTCTTCAGTTATACATTAAGACTTGGTTCTTTTGGTTGTACTGGTAAAGTAGAACCTTAAAGAAGTGCCAGTTGATTGATGGAAAATTAAATCTCTCATCTGTCCTGCTGTCAGTTCCACAAAAGCAAATGGACATATCACCTAGGAAGTTTAATAATTTGACTTCTGATTGTTTTGCTGGAAACAATTAAACTAGACTTATGCCCCTAGCATTTGAAATTAATGATAATGTTCAGTATGTTGACAGAATTTAAGAGATCATATTTTGAATGCTAGGAATGAATCAAATGACATAAATGATCTTCTAATAACTTCACTCATTTCAAAAAGCTTCTATGTGTCAGCTTTTAAGCTGCTTATTCTCTATTAAGAAGGGATTAATGAGGACAATCTATGAGAATAATTACTGAGAAATTAAGCCAAAAATAAAATTATCTCTAGGCATCGCCGAATGGAGGCTGTGCGACTGCGAAAAGAGAACCAGATCTATAGTGCTGATGAGAAGAGAGCCCTTGCGTCCTTTAACCAAGAAGAGAGACGAAAGAGAGAGAACAAGATTCTGGCCAGTTTTCGAGAGATGGTATACAGGAAGACCAAAGGGAAGGATGACAAATAAGGATTTTCTAATTATCTGGCAGACATTTTTCACAACAAAAAGGAAGTCTGGGTTCTACACATATACAAAGATTTTTGTGCTTTGAAAAAGCTTTACAGTGCTACTGTGCCTTCTATTTAATTCTTTCAGTCCTTCAATAAAAATAAACTGCTTATTGATAATAACATCAGTAAATTATTTGGGTTATTTTGGATTGACCATAACATTCTGGTTTAAAAATTTAAATTACGAATGAAATCCTGCTGTATTAGGGGAGGTGGCATGGAGAGAAAGTGTCAGTAAGATGAGAAACTTAATCTCATCCTAAGGCTCAGTGCTCCAATTGGCTCTACACAATGCCAACCCCTACCCCAGCTAAACTTGAGAGAAATTGTCATTCCTCTGTGTTGCAAGTGTTATGAATGGACTTGATAGAAACTACATAGGAGGCTAATTTGTTAAAATGAAAGGTTTGCTGAAAAAAAAAAAGCAAGTCTGGGTTTGAAAACTGACATGTACAATATAATATAGCGTCTGCCCCAGAATAGTGTATTTTGCTTTCAGTCCCTGCCTGTACTCTAAAATCAACCAACAAGCCAAAAAGCGAATTAACCCATGGATTTGTTGAACTGGAAATGTAAACAGGTGGTGTTTTAAACTCTTAATAATTCACTTAAAGATCACTCTTTCAGGGGCTGCAGATAGAGCTCAGTGGTACACTGCTTGCTTAGCATACCTAAGACCCTGGCTTCGATCCCCAGCACTCCAAAAGAAAAAGAGTACTTTCAAATATAAAGTCTTAGGAAGTCTGTTGCTGTGCCAGTGTAAGTAACTTATTTCTATTTGACCTATACTTTAGTGATAGGATAACATCTGAAAAGCAAAGAATGAGAATCAACTATCGTCAGGAGTGCTGGTAGGAAAAAATATCATGAGTCAGTATTTTACTTGTTTCATAAGATCAAGCTAAAATGATATTAAACTTTTTTTGTGTGTGTGGTACTAGGATTAAACCCCGTAGCTCTGCACTGAGCTACATCCCCAGCCCTTTCTATTTATAGTTTTACTTTTTTGAGACAGGACCTTAATAAGTCACAAAGTTGTTCAGGCTGGGCTTGAACTTGTGATCCTCTTTTTTTTTTTTTTTTTGGTTTTTCTCTGGTACCGGGAACCAAACTCACGACCTTGCGCTTGCCAGGCAGGCGCTTTTGCCGCTGAGCTAAATCCCCAGCCCCCTCTTGTGATCCTCTTGTCTCAGCTTTGATGTTAAACATTTTAAACTTTGTCCCTTATGTAATAATATAAATATTGTTAAATCTTTCAGTTTAATTTTTACATCTATCATTCAGTTTAATAGTTAACTTTGTATAAAACCTCCTCACATTATCACATTTTTGGAAAGTGCAAATGGTAGAACTGTGAGATCATAATTTTTGTCCTTCCCTTATTTTTGTTCAGTTTAATTAGGTCACAGAAGTGTAAGGGGAAGGAACAGTTGCAGTTTTGGCTGTTTCTGTTATGGTTGAAAGGTTGTTTCGATCTCCATTATTGTTACATACATAATTACTGGGTGACAGGAAAATTCTAAAATGCCCTTCTTATAACAGTTTGAAAGTGGTTTTTGTTCAGTTTTTAAATTAGGCACTCATATTTCAAGTACAGAGCACAAGGTTTTCTATTTAACATATATTCGGAAAGCGTCTACCTTTAATGCACGACTAAAGAGCAGTGAGTATGTAACATTTGTCTCCCCTGAACTTATGATTTATACTACTACCCTAATAAACCTATACTTTCCAAAAGTTAAAAGGAAACTAGGTCCCAGACTTGTGAGTCTTAGTCCATCTGCTTTATATACTAAAACCTAAAGTGTATAATCCCCACTTTTAAAAATTTTATTCTCTAAGGGCATTTTTGTTACTGGTTCCTAGAGACTGAAATAGTATATTCTTTTATTTTTAATTAGCAAGGCAGTGTAAATGCAGCCATTTTGCGATACATATATAAATATTCAACAGATATTTATTGAGTAAATGAAAGAAAAGATATTAAATTATTTGAGAGCCTTACCACTTTTTTCATCAGGGTTTGTTTAGGAAATGTCTATGAAACAATAGCTTCCGTAGCATATTCTTTAGGAAAGAGAAAGGAAGAATAAAAGGGCTTACAGTATTTTATTTTCAGCTTATGAAACTTACTGCTTCAAAGCTTGTTTAGTCACCTGAGCCATAAGTCAAATGGTAGGGTTATTGTGCTTCAAAGATATTTTTCTGTTCTTCGAGACTTAACTAGTTTCCCACCTCAACTATCACTTTGATAGGATTTTCCTTTCCTTTTAATTTATTGCACAAATACGAGTTTAAAAAAAGAAGGAAAAAAAATTACTCACAGTCCTACCACATCAACCGCTAGTATTCTGTGGGGTTTTTTTCCAGTGTTTGTCTAAGCAGATATGTATTCTGATGTACTTGTGAATAATCACTCAGACTGTAATGTAAATTTTTTTGGTGTTTTAAAACTTTGCAGCCAGGTAAGGGACTCCAGCAAAGATCGAAACAAGTGCTGATCTGATCTGAGGATGAGAAGACCTGAAATAAGGAAGGGTACTGATTGAACCCTTTCCTGTTTCGTTGCCCCCGGCCCTAAAGCCACCCTGCCGCCATCACAAGTGTGATGGTGCGTTGCAGAAGGCAGCATGCCAGGTGTCAGAGTATTGAAATGTACTGTTCAACAGTAAAGCCAACTCCCAGTAAATAAAGCGGTCTGTGAGAAGGGCGGCCCTTCAGACTGGTTATATTATGAGCTGTAGAACCTCTGCCATTTTTTCGTTCCCCCATTGTGCCTGCAAGGGTCTGTCTGGATTGGAGACTTAGGCACAGATTGGGGAACAAGCAGCCAAGAACCAGCCATGATTTGGTCTAACAGGTGAATTTTAGCAACTCTCTAAACTCAGCTCTGTACTTACAAGATTGAAAAATGATGCATAGTGATAGGAAAAACCTTTTAGAAAATAGAAAACAACTTACTGGTTACTCTGCTAATGTGACGGAAGTTGTGGAATGGAAAATGAATGACTGCGAAAAATACAGCTGGGTTGTATGCCACAAGTTTATTCAATAAATATTCTGTGGTTTGATGTGCTACATTGTATTTTTAATACATTCTTATTAGAAAAACAACCCTAAAATGTCCTGTAGATATCAGATATTTAAATAGGCCTTGATTGCGTTTATTAAAAGGTATTTGGCCTCAATCACATTCATCAGCGTTCCTTCTTGAAAGCAGATCGAGTCTGGTCTAGAGAGAAAGAAATACATCAAAAGCTTCTGGGAATTGTACAAAACACTGAGCGCAGGATTCCTTCCTTACTCTGCTACATTGCTGTTGAGTAGGAAAGGTAGAGGATGGAGTGTTGAGAGGGAAGAGGTGGCAAGGGGTCTGGCTATTCTTTTTTGTGCCTGAGGCCAAATCAATAAAGGATTCATGAGCTTATGTGTGAACAGTCTAAGAGAGATTCTAGACAAAAGGGACTTTTATACATGATTTAATTCCACCAGATTTTGAAATTTCATGCAGAAACAACAAACATGACCCACTTTGCCTCTACTCTACCCCAGAAACTAATCCTCAAATTTACAATTGCTGGAGAAACAGATATTAAGAAAAAAAAAACTTTCTAGAACAATGGCAGAATCATACTTTAAGCCCATTCTAATGGGGCTGGTGGTCCAAAGAAGGTAAGTAACCATTACATGAATTATCTGTGGCTATGCACCTGCTGGATTCCTGGGGTATGATGACCTTTCCCCCACTCTTTTAAGATAAATCTCCCCTCCAAAAATAAAATAAATATCCCAAGAGCCAGGCATGATGGCGCACATCCTTAATCCCAGCATGCAGGAAGCTGAGGCAGGAAAATCACCATGAGTTTGAGGCCATCATGGGGCTATATAGTGAATTCAAGACCAACCTAAACTACATAGCAAGACCCTGTCTCAAAAACAAACAAAATAATAATAAAATAAGTCTCCAAATATTTATTACCTTTGAACTAATGTTTGGTCTTCAAATACAAAGGAGATATCAACAGGAGCTTCCTAAGAGAAAAGGATAGCCATCAGCCTAGACCAATCATGCCAACTTTCAACTCCTTCCCTCCCTACATTTGTCCATATGTATACTCTTGAATTTCCAGAATGTATTTTCTTTATGAATTGGGAGTCGGTAGGTCATAGTTCTTTGTCACTTCAAAACTGTTCTGCAAAAGATCTTTTTGACAGCAAATACCTTGAGAATCACCACAAAACTAGGAACATTGTGGCAGAGGTTCATGCTTCTCATTAATAGCACGAGTAAGTCACTGACTTTCTTTATACACTTTGGTTTACTTAGTTAATAATTTCTACCTCTTCAGGAATGGCACCAGAAGGAAATTATATAGATGAACAGGTCTGAAAACATTTTTATGACAGCATAAAAAATAGGCTATAATACTATCTTAGTGGTCCCTACCCATTCTTCCTTCCAAATTATACTTGGAATTTTGAGCAAAACCTCTTTCTGACTTTGTGGTCCCTAGGTAAAGCCGTGGAGTCAGAATAAAGTTCAGATAACTTTTGTGAAAGGGTAGAAACAAAATGGAAAATAACATTTTTATGTCTTGTAGTCTAAGCATTATGCTTGGTATCATCCCCATTCCTCTGAGGACCCTTCCCCTTGAATTCACAGATATTATTTTGGCTTCTTTGACACTAGCCATCAAGTCAACATATTTCTTATTCACAGTCTACTTAGTGGCTACAAGTAGTCATTCCTTCAAATTTTTATTAAACAACTACTATTTCCCAGACCTTGTTTTACAGCAAGACAAAAAATCCCTACCTTGATCAAGCTTATATTCTGCTGTGGGAGCAGATAATATCAAAATAATAAATTATATAGAATATTAAAAAATAGTAAAGTATTACAGAAAGAAACAGAAGATAGGATAGACAGAGCAAGAAAAGAAGTTAGGGAGGAAGCAATGTACATGCCTAGGGCAGAGTGTTCTGGTCAGAAGGAATAGAAAGTGCAAAGGCCCTGGGGCAGGATTATACCTACCCTGTTTAAGGAGTAGCATGATCAAAGTGGTTGGAGCAAAGTAAGTGAGGGTAAGGGGCAGTGGGAAAGCAAACTAACAAAGGGCTAGATCACACAGCCCTTGTAGGTAGATCTTTGCTACACAAATGTAAGTCTCTGGACCTGTGCTGTCAGCACTATCTGGCAGCTTGTTAGAAATGCAGAATCCAAAGCTCTGCCCTACACCTGCTGAATCAGAATCTTTATTTTAACAAAAACCCCACTTCATCTGTATGTGCTTTCAAGTTTGAAACATACTTCAGGAAAGTTTTAAATAGAAAACTTTCATTTTACAAGGCTCACTGTGGCCGGCTGCTGTATTGGCAAGAAATATAATGAGTGCAAGGATGGAATCAGAGAACTTGATTGGGAGGCTACTGCAATAATCTTGCTGAGAGAGGATGGATCCTTGGCCCAGGGTGGTGGAAGTGGAGAGGTATAAAATTGTGGGGTTCTGGGCATATTTCTGAGAGTAGAGACAACTGGATTTTTTTTTCAGTACTGGAGATTAAACCCAGGGATATTCTACCACTAAGCTACGTCCTCAGCCCTTTTTAGAATGGATTTTTATTTGAAATAGGGTCTTAAGATGCCCAGGAGGGGCTTGAACTCACAGTCCTCCTATCTAACTGGATTTGTTAATGGATTGGTATGAAAGGTATTTTAAAAAATGAGAGTCAAGGATGACACCCAGGATTTTGAGATGGAGAGTGTAGCAGGTCAGATTTGAAAGGGAAAATCAAAAGTTCCCTTTTCGATACAATAAGTGAATTGTTCATTAAGCCTTCAGGTTGGAGAGGTCTGGACTGGAGCTATAAATTTGGGAATCACAGGCTCTAGGTGACATTTAAAGCCACGAGACTGGACAAGATAACCATGGAAGTGAGCACAGAGGAGGCCCAAAGCCTGAGTTGGGAACATTCCAACATGAAGGGACTGGTGTGAGGCAGAGGCGCCAGGAGAGACTTGAGGAGGGATGGCCGGTGAGGCCGGAGGGAAACAGGAGAGTATGTTGTTCTGGAAGCCTAACGGAAAGTGTCATGGAGGAGAGCGTGATCAGTCCTGGCTTGCTGCAAATGGGCCAAATGAGGGCAGAAATATGACTCTTCAACTTTGCAAAAAGTCCCTATTCCACTGAAGCCCCACTGAAGAGAACAGGGCCCAAAAGGAAGAGCTTACCGGAGGTTTGTTTTTGTTTATCTTAACAGTGAAGTAGGCAATGGTGTAGACTTTTGCTATGGGTAACTGAGCGGATGAGAGGCTCCAGCCCACACGGTAGATATAATAGAAGGAGTGAATTACATCTTCTTTCCTCATAAACTCTGTCCTGAATGCCCAGCCAATCCGAAACTTGCAAGTCTGTTTCATAGGGAAAAAAGAGAGAGAGAAAACTTAACAGAGCACGAAAGAAAAGGAGGGCTACAGCCCTGTTGTGAAGTACTACACATTTTATTGGGAGTCATACTACAGTCGATTCCCAATTACCTCCTGAGGGGAGAGAGAGTGGAGCTGAAATGAAATAAGAGCAAAGGCAAACGCACCTTCAGATCAGACTTTGGGCTGCAGGGGCACACCCTCAGATGTGAATGTCCACACCAACCACATACGCACAGTCTGCTCCATACCCTTACTTGGAAGGTGTCTTTGTTACATTTCTCATCGCTGAGGCGAAATACCCAACAGCCACAGGGTAAAGAAGGAAAGGTTTCCTTCAGCTCAGTTTGTAGAGGTTTCACTCCTGTTATGGTTTGTGTCTGGATGTCCTCCTCCTCACCCCCGAAGCCTCATGAGGTCATGGGGGCAGATTTTTTGGCGGTGGCTGAATCTAGACTTTGTGGTTGGTTCATTGCCTAGTGCTGGAATTGGGGGGTGTGAGTGCTACACCTGCCCTAGGATACATACAATATAAGGGAGGGAAAGAGGCTTGCTCCTCTCTTTTGCTCTGGTTGTTTTTGCTATCTTCTGCTGCCATCAACTGTTGCCCCTCTGCCATGCCACTCTGCCTTGGAGCCAGCTGATTATGGACTAAAACCTCTACAAACTGTAAACTAAATAAACTTTTCCCTCTTTAACTTTGGATATCGGGTATTTTGTCCCAGCAAGGAAAAAAGGAACTAAGACAACTTCATAGTCAGCTGGCTCCAAGGCAGGGTGGCATGGCAGAAGGGCATCACAGAGAAGAAACAGTTCGTGGCACATCATGGAGAAGGTATTAAGCAGCAGCCAGCCTGCCTTTCCTTTTCTCCCTTTATATTCCATCCAAGCAATAAGCCTATTGATTGGTGCCACCCACACCCAGGGTCAGGCTTCCATTCTCCACACCCGGAACTATGCTAAACCCATTTAGTTATCACACCCTTAATCTGAATGTCACACACACTAGATTCAGCCAGCTTTGAAAAGGCTCAGCGTGCATGAAGCTTTGGGGAGACATCTAAATACAAGCCACAATAGAAAGTGTGATTAAGTAGAAAATAATTAGAAAATGACTAGAAGATAGACATGGTGGTACACCTTGTAATCCCAGCCCTCAGAAGCTGAGGCAGGAGTATCACCGCAGTTTGAAACCAGCTTAGGCAACATAGTGAGTTTGAGGCCAGCCAGAACTGCATAATGAGACCTTGTCTGAAAGAAACAAAAAGGGGGAGGAGCAAGTGACTAGAACACATGTTCTGTTCATCCTGGTCCAGGAGACAGGAGACCTACAGGTGTGACTAGAAAGCAATAGGGCTAGTTTCAACCATTTGTGAAAATTAGACTCACGTCATTGCAGCCATGACTGGTTAATAAGATCAGAAGAGCAGTGATTCAGACAATGAGATACTCCATATCCCTCTGAAAGGAATGAATCTCTGTTTGCACCTTTGGAAAAGCTTTCCCCTTTGAAAGCACAAATCATACTAGTGGAGTCAAGAAACAAAAGACCTTGGATTACCTCCTTAGGGCATATTCTTGGAGTTAACAGGAGAGTACACAACTCAGGTCAACTATATTATTGAAACTATCAGCATTCATTCAGTCCCTCCTTAATTAATCCATGTATATTTTCATTAACCCTTAGTCCTGTCTATTGTACCCCAAATACGTCTCCCGTCTACCTGTTCTTCTCCAATCCCACTGCCAGTACTCTATTTCAGCTCTCATTGTTTCACACCTGGACTCAGGGAGCAACCTACTATCTAGACTTCATCATCTTCAACTCCGCTTCTCCACAACACCACCCATGCTGAAGCCAGTTATTGTCCTTAAGCACAGCTTCGATCACATCAGCTCCACTCCAAAACCTTCAGCAGCTCCCCTACTGCCTGCCAAAGGAAGTACAAATGTTTCACTGTGTCATTGAAGACCGCCCACAGTCTAGACCTAATACTATGATTTTCTACCCATATGTCACGCCTTTCCCAGCAGAAGGCTCATATTCCCATCAGACTAGAACTAGTCACTGCTCCCCATATATTCATTGTGCTTTCTTATTTTTTTAATTTTTTTTTTTGTTTGTTTTGTTTTTCTTCCAGTACCAAGAATCGAACTCACGACCTTGCGCTTGCCAGGCAGGTGCTGTGCTGCTGAGCTAAATCCCCAGCCCCTGTGCTTTTTTATTATTTTGAGATAGTCTATGTAGCCCGGTCTGGCCCTGAACTTGTGAACTCAAGTCATCCTCCTGGGTTGGTTTCCCAAGTGCCACGACTACAGGCATGCACCACTGAACCTGACTTGCCCTAGGCTTTGGACCAGACTAATGGCATTTCTTAGGAAATCTCTTTCTCTCAAGGCTACTCTGTACTTTGTAGCACTAGGATGATCCCTAAAGATCATCTAACAAAGCCCTTCACTTTTCAGATGAGGATTCTGGGGCCTAGAAGTAGATAGAGACAATTTAACATCGTACCTAGATTGGTACCTAGGACTTCTAAGCAACCACCCCAGTGTTTTCTCCACCCTACCCCATACCTCCCCACTAAGAGGTTTTGCCTCTCGGCTTGATTTTTGGTCTACTTTTCCCCTTTTGTGAATGAAGGAAGCCTTAGGTATGACATTACATTCAACAGTCTTGAACAGGCCAATCTATTCCCATTTTAATTCAATATACACACAGCAGATTTTTATGTAGCTCCAATGAGTGTGTATTATCTTGGAGTTGATAATTTTTATATGACATCACTTCATATACTCGCTTCCAGGAAACTGTGCCTCTGTGCTACTCTACAACGGATGGCTTAGCCAATTAAAATTATTGGATGCACAAAATCTACATGCACCTGGAAGTACATGCACAAAAGTGTTATTCATGGTAAGTGACCTGGGAAGAATACCTGGGTATTGTGGTATGGAGGGAGAACTGTCCTTTTTCTTATTATAAAAATAATTTAACTGTCTATTAGACAATGGGAATTCTCTAATTTTTTTCTTATCTAGAGCCCATTTGTATATTCTTATTGTCAGATTATGTTCTGGAAGAGAATGAACAATAATTATGCCTATCGGCAATATATAATTGTACCTATTCCTGTTCCACAAATACACAAGTTTTCTCACACCAGGTTTAAATATTCTTATTCATATAGCAGTACCTTTCAAACTTTTGAATTTGCATTTTTATTATTTTCATTAATAATAAAACTATTCCTTTTATCATCAAAAAATACTTTTCCTACTATGGTAGAAAGAATATATCACACAGAATTATAACCAAAACAGGGGCTGGGGATTTAGCTCAGCGGCAAAAGCGCCTGCCTGGCAAGCGCAAGGTCGTGAGTTCGGTTCCCGGTACCGGAGAAAAACCGAAAAAAAAAAAAAAAGAATTATAACCAAACCTTTATTTTGCTGTTTAATCAGAGAGACTTTGGACAATTGTTCAACCTCTGTGAGCCTCGAGCTTCCTCATCTGTAAAATAGATACAGTGATATACCTATCCCTAGGTTTGTTGTGAGAATTTTTTTTTTTTTTTTTTGGTTTTTCTCCGGTACTGGGAACCAAACTCACGACCTTGCACTTGCCAGGCAGGCGCTTTTGCCACTGAGCTAAATCCCCAGCCCTTTGTTGTGAGAATTAAGAGATCATGCATGGCGAATGTTTCACAGTACTTGGCTCAGCAAATGGCAACTCCTAATATACCATCCTTTGATGTGTGGTGGACTCTGAGAAGTTGACAACAAGCTCGAGAGAAGTCTCCATCAGAAATGCCTTACACTTAGATGGTAGAATTCTCACTTCTAGGCCTCATTGCATTAGTACAGTTGGAAACAGGTTGATTTGCTGTCCTGAGTTACACAGAGCTTTTAGTTTTTTATTCATCTACTTTCTAATTATCTCTATCCTCACAAGAGCCCTGTAAAGTGAGACAAATGTTTGAATCTGGCTCTTCATCTATAAGGAAATAATGGTAATGAGATAATAAATCTCCTCATGTATCCAACACAGATTTATTGAGCATCTATTGTATAGGTGATATTCCTAGGTGGCCAAGTACAGCCCACTGAGCAAAAGTGTCTGCCCTCCTGGACCATATGATCTGGATAAATCAGTAGACTCTGGTCTTTTAGTAGATATAGGTGTTAAGGGAAGAATAAGTCAGAGAAAGGGGAAGGCTGCAATTCTAGGAAATGCCTCAAGTCTCTGCTAACAAGTGGTATTTTAATGAAGATCTGGAGAGAGGTGAAGTGGTGAGTCCTGAAAATAAATGTCAGGAGAGCAGGTTCTAGAGGGAAC